CGATTTTTTTACATCCAAGCAGCCCATGTGCGAATAGTAGTCGTGATGGGGAGAGGGATGAAGGGGAGAGAGAGAGAGAGAGAGAGAGAGAGAGAGAGAAAGAGAGAGTAAGTTACACGAGGGGTGGCGTGACACAGAAACTGCCGATGTAAAAACCCGTCGTTCTGATACATCCTGTATTTGCGTTACATAACGTAATAACGCACGTTTTTAACGCATTTTTTTATTTTCGGTTTTTCGAACTATAGCGCTACATTGAAAATCCAAAATCCTGTAATTATTTTTTCTTCTCCATCCCCCCTCCCTTTCTCCTATCCATCATGAAATATATTGATTTCCATTGGCATATTCTTTTATTTTCGAGCAAATTAATTTCAAAATGTTACGTCGTGTAATATTATTTAGTTTGGTAAATTCTAATTTTATTCCAATTTATTTCCGACAAATTTTAATCTTATATTGATATATATATTTGTCTCCAATAAATTTTTATTTTAACTTAATCTATACGTCATAAATTTGCTTTCATAAATTAAATTTATAAATGTATTTAAAATTCATAAATTTAAAATATTTATAAAAGCAAATATATCGTAAGATTATTTTCCAATATATTTTATTTCTGAGCAATATTTAAATTTGTTTAAAGTATCAACAAAGAGAAAAAATTCACAACTACTATATAATATATTAACTAATATATTATTAACTAATCGTTAATGGTTTATTAAAATTAAAACAATAATGTTTTATTTCAGGATTGACTCCTTTCAACGATTGCGATATGTGATAGTAAAAGCATAAAAATAATAAATATAATTTATACCAGTCATATAATATAAAGTTATAACTGTAATGTATATTTCTATTAAATGAGTTAGATAAAAATAACTTATGTCGTTGTTTAGAAAACACTCACCTATTTTTCTCCAATTCGTTATGAGTCGTTCTGAAAACAGAGAAAAGAAAACGCTCGTTATTACAATATATTTTAGAAATAGCAGTAAAATCGCGATTAATGATAAAAACAAATCAAGAGACGATAATAATATCACAAGACAATCTGGTAAATATGATATAAAATCAAAAAGACTTATCGCGTAAAAAATATTTAAACGCAGGTACAAGTAACTGGTAATTGCAATGATTAATTGCGAATTAAACATATGTGTTACAGATTATTGCATACAAAATATCGAATTTTCAAATTTCAATATAATACTCCTATAGATAAAAATGTTGTATCTATAATAATTAAGTATCATACATTATAATAAAAACATATTAAAAATATATTCTCTTTTACAAAAATTACGCTTTAATTATTTCAATGCAAAATATTTGCGATATTTCAAGTTACGGTAAGTTTATAGAAATATAAAATAATATAATATAAAATATTTAAAAATTTGGAAATTCGTATAACAACATTTTTCTATAATGGTAAAGTTATGGGATGCTATAATATTATAAAAACAGTTCAGCAACACAAATTAAACGCTTAAACAAAATTATTATTAACGTGAGAATAAAAAATATAACTATTGCGAAACTTAACATTTAAAATAAAAAATTTAAAAAGTATTTTTAAATTTTTCAAATTTAAACAAATTTTCGGATATCATTTTTACGAGATATTTGAGTAGATACAAACCTGCTGCCTTGGGATTTCTTTGTCTTTGACCTCTTTGCAACCATTCGCATATCATCAGGTATTGGCATCGTTGAAGCGTAGCCATGTTCAGCTTCTGCAACCATAAAGAGATAAATCGATAAGTGAAATATAATTGCACATTAATATTTACTTATAATACAATTATATCCGATGTATTAAAATTGATGACTCAAACTTTGGATACATATAACCAAAATAAACAATGTTAATAAGCATAGGTCCAAAAAATACTTGTTTCTAAATTATAACACATTTCTTTAAATGTTATCAATGACAAACATTTGTATCATACAATTTTATTTTTAAAAATACTCGTATTTGTAGAAGCAACAAAGATATTTAGATAAATCTTCATACATGTTATACATATACACACATACACATGCGCACACGCGTATACGTGCATGTACAAATATTTAAAAAATATGTGTTTACATTTTGATGTATAACCAGATTTAATATAATTTATTATTGGATCAGGTCAGTTTCATATTATATGCGACAAGGAAAAACCACGACGTGACTCTCGCGAGAGGGCTCGAACTTTCGAAGCTTGTTAAGCTCGTTACAGAGCGAGCGACGATGAACGCACCGATATTAAGTCACGTTTTATTTTCTCTTAGAGACCGTTCTCTTCAGACCTTAGACTGTTCCGAGAAAGTCACGTCCGATCGAAGTATGATCGTGCTTTGTTTTGTGATTTTCCAAGCAAACAAGCGTACAATAATTTCAATTCAATAAGTGTGCATGATATTGAATTAATCTATATTAATTCGATGTTTGTCAAATGCAACATTTATATTTCTATAAATAACAGTTGAGTCAAATTCAGATAACTATATGCATCAAATCAAATTAAAATAGAAACATCGGAATAAATTTGTATAAATAGAACTCATGGTAAATTAAGAGACGGACAGGCATTCCATATCAGATAAAAATAGAGTCTTTAGAATAAATTTTCATAAAGAGACACAGTTAGATTCAGATAAACTTCGTATCAATTTCAGATTTACTTTCATCGATTCATTAAAACTTCAATTTCGATAAAAATCATATGCACGTCAATTGTATTCATAAAGTAATTTATTTCAATAAATATTCTATACAAATTTAATTTATAAGAGACTTAGATTCATAAAATTTTATTCCAATAGATTAAAAATGTGTACACTTATTTCAAAATTGATAAATTGTTTTCTACAATGCTGCAATTAATTTTAAAGTTATTAAATAATAATGTTATGTGAATTTTTAAATTCTTTCTACTTTTTCACAAATTCGCAGCAACTTAAAGTCCGAAAAGAAACTACTTTATGCAGAAGCATATTTTTGTAAACGAGTTATGTCACTCTAACATGATGTGTAATATACGATTATAGTACATTTATTTCATAAGAGCGTCTAATTTAAATTGGAACTTTCAGAATTTATATATATATATCGATAGTCACGTATAGTTCTTTCGAAAATCTATTGTGATTTGACATACGGAAAGGAATAAGTATACGCGTGCGCGCAAGGGAAACGACGTGCGTTCTCGCATGTATGCGACGAGGACGTCAGTTTAGTGCGACGCAGCAGCATCATAAGTGGAGTGATAAAATGAGATCATCGCGCCGCGTATACGATCCGCTACGAAAACAAAAATTAGTATCGAGATGATGCTATATTTTTAAATCGTTTAAATTTCAATTAAAACGGTGGAATGACACACTCGTTGCATAAAAAAAATCAATTTAAGAAAAATTCAAATTCCAATCTCATGAATGGTTTCCAAACCTTGACGATAAATATAAAAACTGCCATAATAAATATCTCATGATCGAATTGATTGTTATTGATAAAAATTCAGTGTATATACATTGTTGATGCACATTAATTAATAGTAGAACGCGATGCTTTCTTGCAAGATTTTATATTAGATTCTTCTATCAACATGCTTAAGCTTTTGACAGACTGGAGTAAACAGCAATATTACAAATATTATATATCAACTTCAAATAAAAGACACCACATCAAAGATTCAAAGCCACACTAGAAATATGTTTATTTTAATGTACACGCTAAATATTTTTGTAAAAAATTAAGCTACAATAAAAGTTATATCATGCTTCACCTCTGTTTTCTGTAATTTTTACAATGTGACTTTAATATCTGTCTTACCAAAAAATGTAACACGTGAAACTAAGCTTGTTGAAAGTACATATCACACTGCATATTTATTCCAGTCGCACTTGCAAGATATCGATGGTAGAAAAAAATTAAATAAAATTTTGTTTGAAAAAGAGAGAAAAAAGAAAGGAGAGAATGTAATCCCAAAGAGAAGCTAAAAAGTACAAGTACTCACCTCTTTCCCTTCGTTCAATGTACTCAGCGGCTTGCAGTAGGGCAGCAATGCTCATATTTCCCCGGTTTGGCGTAATCCTGGCGGCTTCCGTTCACGCGTACTTCCTCCTTTTTCCCTCTGCCGCACGCTCTCGCGCCAACACACGCGACAAAAGACACGACACACGCGTTGCACGCACCACACTCACACACACAGACGCGCACGTGCGCGTACGACGGCCGCACAGATGAAGGAAGAGAGGGCTGCGAGATACGTAATCGTGATGTCTTCGGCCGCCACGCCGCGCCGCCTCGAACGACTCCGTGTTCGGCTTCCTTCGGACCGCGTTCAACTGCGCTCAACAACGCGCACGAGCAGTGATGACGACGCGTACCGAACGAAAAGCGTGCACCGATCCGCGAACGATGACGATGACAATGACGACAATGACGACGAAGACGGCGGCGGCGGCAGCGGCGGTAGCGGCGGACAGCCGATATAAATGTGTGGAAAGTTCCTTCTGCACTGCTGCTTCTATTTGATTCACGAACAGTTTTCTTGCGCGTCTGTGTCACGAATAATAAAAATCAACAAATATTCCGGTTAAAGTCTTCTCTCTCCTGTTTAATTGTCGTTGCTGGACTTTGCTCCAATCGTTTCCATCAAATTCCAATTAACGAATCGGCTCGAATATCTCTCTTTCGTATGCAAACCGTTGCACAATTTCCTTTATCAATCACTAAATGTCTTTAACACTTGAATCCTTTCGCTTAAATGTTCCTTAGCACCCAGCGTCCTTTTAGATACGTTAGAAATCGTATTCTGCGATGTGCTTCTGATTTGGTTGCGATTACTCAGCTGTCTCTTACACCTCCTCTTCTTCTCTTCCTGTCAGAATACTTCTCTTGTTTTCCGCTGCTCCTTCCTCGCCGTGTGTATCACATTTACCGCGATTGCACTAAATCATAAAAGAAATCCATTATCATCACCATTGACCGCTAAAAAGCACTCGCAAACGCGACTCTCCGATTTCGTGCGTGATTCTCAACGTGATTAACGACAATATACAATTGCAGTGATATCACTGATACGAAAGTACCGCGTAAGAGGTAACTGCGCTTCGAACGCCACCGAGAAAAGCCGATCGCGAACAACGCATACGCACAGCACACAGCGGAATGAAAGAGAGAATACGCCTACGCGCGGTCTCGTAACGCGAGAAAAATAAACAGCGAGTGAAACGAAAACAGAGCAAGAGCGAGTGAGAAAGAAATATATAGATAAATATAGAAAGAGCGATAAAATAAAATTCATATGCTTTGAAATAAAATTTTCTATAAATTGAACGAAGAAGGCAAGAATTATTCAGTGCATGCTTGCGTTTTCCATTAAAATTAATTTTAAAAAATTAAATGTAATTTTATATAAAAAACAGAATTATTTATTTCAACACGGATATATATCACATAACATCCAAAGAAATATATAGATCAAAATTTAGAGAACATCAATTATACAATAAATATACGTTTATTTGTTGTAAAACACATAATAAAAAAAGAAAAAAAAACAACAAAAAAAGAATTAAATGAATCTCTTGCATTAAATAACAAAAATATAAACACACTATCGCCCATTAATTACCAAAAAATTTATATAATAAATTAAACAGTATAATCATAGTATGCAAAAGATTCATTTACAAAAACAACTCTATTCGTTTCAGTCGTATTTTTCTGCGTTTAAAATAAGATAGGTGCGTATTTAAATTTAAGAAAAAAGTAAAAAAAATAATTATATAAAGTAATTAAAACGAGCACATTTAAACAAAAGAGGGAAGACGAGGGGAGGGAAACATAGCTGACTTAATAAAGATGTAACACTATTCATACAAAGCATGTACAATATAAAGAACAAATTAAATTTAATCGGATAAATTTGTATAGGCACATATAAAAAAAATATTATATGTGTTAACCGAACCGAATATCTTTGTCTTCACGCATTAAATCTCTATACATTTTTTGATAAATTTAGAATGGATTTTTTTTACGAGAATGTTGCGAATATTAATCCCTATTTTTATATCTAATAAACATCAGATATTGCGACAATCGAAACAAAGATTTTTATTCAAATAAAATTGAAATTAACCGAAAAGCCATCTGTCATTGAACACGATGAATGTATCACAAAGCGGAGTAAGGGGATTAATTTCCGACACTAGGTAGTTTTGAATAAAGTGAATTTTCGTACGAATTTTGAATAAGGAATTCTGCCAATTTGAGATTCGTCGGGGCCTGCTGCTGTTGCTGCGCGCGGGCTGAGGCCGTTATCGTTGCGAGGTGCAAGCGACGCGCCAGCTGATAACTCACAAACAAAGAGGCAGGCGACCTGCCTTCGCGCAACAGCAGTTCTCTACCCGAATGTCCACTAGAATGCGCCAGCTGAGATCCCGTCGATCCCCTCGTCACGCGTACGAAGCGGCCCGTATGCGTACGTTTCTGTATCTCTCACGCATATACACACACAACACACACGTTATACGTATACAAACATACATTCACGCCCATGTGTATATTTACGTATGCATATACGTACGCATACGCCCGTATATACGCATATACGCCTAACATCCGTCTGATGACATTTGGCACGAGACACGGCGAAAAAAGAGTGTGCGTAAATGATGGAAAAAAGAGAGATAGATAAAAAGAGAGAGAAACTAACAATGATGCCTGTTCACTGTGTTATGTGGATGATCAGCACTGCCCAGCACTACTAGCTCTCTCACAGGTTTCCCACGGGGGCGGAGGGGCGCACGACGGCGGCGGTAGCGAGGGGTGGGAGCGAGCTGATCGGACAACGAACAATGCCGAACGCGAATAGAGAGCGAGCGCGCTAACAAGCGATCAAACGGCGATCACGATGACGAGAATAACAACCGAGGAACACGGTGACTCAAATAACGACGATTCACGGACGATTCGGAGCAAGCAAACCAGCGAGCGAGCGAGCGATAGCTTGGCACCTCCGCGCTTCGCGAACACTCGCACGCATTTATCGATGTCAAACGCTCTTCTCGGCGGCAGCAGCGCTCTCTCTGTCCTCTATACAGCGGTGTGCGCGCTTACGGCCACGATGATTGGCCGGAAGCGATGGCAAGCGCGTTATAGCGACCAATCGTGGACGTTGTAACAAGCATCACCGCGATCGTCGCGTGCCGCCACCAACACCCGCCGGCTGTCACGTGAATCTCATGCCCGAAAACAAAACAAACAGCTGGCCGCCCAGCGTCGCCGTTGTCGTCGTCTTCTAGCAAGCTGAACGCTGAACGAATACAGCCGATCAAGCTCGAACTAACCCGAACGGATCCGCGCTTGTTACGCATAAATTTGAATCTAGATTATTGACTTGATGAGACATTATGAAAATCAAAATTATATAATATGCATTTTATATGCATTGACACACATATTCACGTGGTTTTGAAATTAGTGTGACTTACTCTTATTTACGAACGTAATTGTCCACATAAAAATAATTAAAGTTTACTTCACTAATCTTTGATTAAATAAAGATTAAATTGAGTAATTAAATTTTCTTTATTATAAAATTATTTCACATTTGAGATACTGATTTAATGCCCAAAATGTCCAATGCATTCTCAAAAACAACTTGTAATGCATGCAACATATACAATCTGGCAACCATCTTGGAGATCAAATGATCACTTCCTTCCTATAATTTACAATATGATTTAGTATAAAGGTATCTACTGCAAAATATCTAAAGCATTAAGTATAGAGGAGGAAAAGAAAACTTATTTTACCGTTAGAATTTTGATCCTTCTATAATAAGCACTGAATTTTTGACATAATCGTGATAAAAACAGGCATAATACCTGTGGATAAATATGAAAATTTGGTTCACATTTTAAGCAATCATTTATCATTTGCAAATATCCAAATATAAAATTATATACAAGCTCCCATTCTTCCTGAAATCAAATTAAATTTCTTTTAATAAAAATTAATTGTGTAAAACTTAATTAGAAAATTATATAATAAACATATAATTAATAAAAAAAAAACAAATAAGTTTTACTTACTTCTTCATACAATTCTGAAAAATCTACATTTCCAATATTTGGTAAACTAGGATAATCTCCACACAATACTCTCTCATTATACTTTCTTATAATCGTTGCTATCCTAGCAACATTGTACAATACAAATGATGCACCTGCAATGTTTACAATTAAACATAAATTTAAGATGTAAACAAATACAAAATTGTATAATTATTATAACTATTACAATTGATTTAAAAATTAAATTTATTAAGAGTCAATAATTTATCAATTAAATAATACCTTTTGTATTCGTAATGCTTTTATCTTCTTTGGAGTCACTATTGCCAATAATAACTGATCGACTCGGTTTCACAGCCATTAACTCAAAAATAACAATAGCATTGGCCAAATTTTCCAGAAAGAGATCTTTCTTTGCATTATTCTCTTCATCTTCAATAAATTTATGTTCATTCAATTCTGCCAACTGGTCTATTTTGCATTTTACATGTTGATCCCATGTAAGACATATTTCCTTTGATTTTGATTGGGAATTCTTTACAACACCGCACACATATTTCTCATATCCTTCGTCAACTGATCCTTCTGATTTGCTGGTGAACAGATACTTACCAATGCAGTTTTTCTCATTGGATATCACATATCCATGCAAACTCAATACCTTTGCAGCAATATTTCTCATTAGATGCAATCGCTGAGTGGTAAGATCTGACTGTATATCAGGTTGGTACTTCAAACTGAATGCTTTACCAGTTGATGGAGTACTTCCAAACATCATTCCACATTCAACAGCCATCCTTATACTGTTTGTAATAATATCTCCTCGATTTAGAAACAAACAAACCTTTTCTTTTTGCAATATACATTGTTGTATTCTTATTGGCCAGCTGCTACTTTTTAATATTAATTGTTCAAAGACCTGTCAATATTATTTGAAGTTTGTAATCAAGAACAAAACATAATCATTAACTGTTAAAACATGTTTATTTTATAAGAGTTCAATAAAATTTAAATTTTCTAGACTAAACACAAAAAATATATAAGAAATCATTAAATTATTTATTTACCTCTTTAGCTACATCAACATCTGTATTGTATTTTGTTGTACCATGTACATGTGTGTAATGCTGCAAAATACTCGTGCAATCCTTGGAGCAAACCAATAAACTTTTCCATGCTTTGAAGCTGCACAAAAAATAGAGCTCCCCATTTGTCGACAAATTTTCATTATTTACTTTAATTATCGAAGAATTTTTGTGTGTATTGTAAAATGGAAAGTCAGTAAAATAGAAAACAATATTGTCAATAAGAGATCTAGTACAAAAACCTGCCCAGCTTTCCATTGAAAATTTTGCTGATTTGTGTTGACCAGCAACAAGTGACATTTTTATATATCATAGCAAACTTTTAGTTATGCATTTTATATTAAATATTGTATACATAAAACAGTATAAATATTCATTTTAATATTAAAAAAGAAGAAAAATAATAAGAGAAACTGCAGATAAATCTCGTGCAGTCTTAATATATTCTTTTAACTCCACTTTAAATATCTATAACCTATGAGCATCTAAATCGAAATAGATTATGTTTACTGTTCATACATACGCGCAAGAAAGAAATAAGGGTATATTCAGACAACTTGCATATCGTATAAGCATATGCATAAGGAAATTGATTGGTCCATTTTCTTATGCATCTTCTTATGAACCAACCCATTTTCTCACGTACAATGTATAATATATTTAAAAATATTTTTAATTCTCCAGTTACATTTATGTATTAGAAACCAAAAAAGATGGGAAAAAATAAACAATATTTCCAAAAATAATAATTGCTATTAACATTTTTCTTATTATACAAAAACGTTTTACAAGAAATAAATTGTGTAAAAAAATAAAATTTATTATTAATTTAATAAATATTATTAATGTTGTAAATATATATTGTACTTTAATATAAAAAAAATTCCCATTAAATAATATAAATATTTTAGAAATTTCTTGATTAAAGTTCCAATAAAACAATCACAGATATAATTTTTAATAATAATAGTTTAATTAAACATATATTTGCGTCATATTTATTATAATGTGTATCTTACAAAATCATCACATAAAGAATTTACTAAGTACAATATAAGTAATTATGATTTAATATATATATTAACATCTATAATTTATTTAAGTTAAGTATCACTATTCTGTATATTTAATGAACTCTTATTGCATCCCTGGAAGAAAAATGACACAAATTGAAATTTTTCGAATTTTGTATTATGTACAGATAGTGATCTAAATACATCGGCCTTCAATCAGGAAAAGTGATATAAATTCGATTCAAATATTTCCCGTGTGAGTTCATTAATGTTGTTTAATACTGTCATAAAGAATTAATTTTAAAATTATTGTTTGACCAAGCATAGACCTGTGAAATTATTTTCCATCATTCATCATTAATAGAAAACGTTATTATTAACGTAATTTTCTCTCCTCTCTCCTAAACAAATTTATATTTTTACTTGTGTCACTTTTTTGCGGGGATGCGATATGTGTAAAACTTCGTTAAACAGAATGGTGATACTTGACATATGCTATGGCTGCGAGATCTTTGCAAAAATCTTCTGTCACTATGGCGCTTTCGTACAAAAGATTTCCTTTCTCCCTAAAACATAAATGTAAATTATTAAAATGTATGAAGTTTAATTCTGAAGCTTTTTTGGATTTTTAATTAGAAAATTAGTTATTAAGCTAAGTTATAAGATTTAATTTGAAACATTAATTGCAAGATTTAGTGTAAAAAGTAGCAATTTACAACTAATAAAATATAGATCTCACTCTTCTTGTAAACAGTCATCCAACAGTCTCTGTCTCCTCTCTGTTAACATCGCTTTACTCTCCGGAGTTTTTGGTATTTCGCTAACAAGTTGCTTGACAACCTTCTGTAAGCACGAAAACAGACTCTTCGTGCCAGGTATCAAAGGCAGCAGAGGATTCAGCAAGAATTCGTGCAGGTACGGGTGCGGCAGTAGCGCTAGCCTGGAGATCAACCCTGTGATCCCTACATTGACCTCGTATGTCTGTCTTGGCATATTGCTGATTTTGTCGAAAAGCATGCTTAGGAATGGTCCCATGTAGAACCGACCTGAGCCATGGTCAGCTTCTGGTCGCGAGTCTGAACTCGCGGAATCGTCCACCATCACTGCCTCTAATGGCCACGCCATTAAAGCGCAGTCGGAAAGCACGGAAGAATACTGTCGTTCCCAAATCGGCATATATTTCTCATAATTATTAGCATCAGAATCCGTTTGTAAGTAACGCGGTATTAATGACAGAAAACTGAAATAAAAATTGAGTCTATAACACTTATTTGTATTTAATTTATCTAAATATTTGAGAAAGTATATAATGTAATTAATTAATTTGTAATGTAATTATTTTCATTATACTACAATCAATTTGATACAATAATAATTAAGAGTAATAGTTTCTTTTGTTAACATATGAGTCGTTTTTTTAAATGGTATAAGTCTATTTTTGCTTGTTTTAAAATATTTAATGTTTTGCATTTTATCTTATTTAAAAATATTATTAAACTATTTTTAATTGAATCTATACCACTTAGAAAAACGGCTCATATTGTTCCCAATCACTCTCTCTTACCAGTTTATAACTCGGTGGATGTTACTTGGTGCCAAAGTGCGACTGTGACTCTGCTCATAAGAAAGATCCAAAGATCCCTTTTTTTCCTTTTCCCTTTCATCTTCTTCATCGCTCCAAGATGCGATAGCACTATCGGCGGCAGTATTGTCGTAATACATTCGCGTAGACAAATAGATCAGCAAGAGACAGTGGAGTATGTGCTCGTTTCTTTTGTCTATTGCTTCCTCAAATAATTTTAACGTCTCTATTGTAAGATCATTACTGTCCGAGAAACAATTCTCTATCAATCTATGCAATACTGGTGACGTCCACACATTCGGTATGTCTGGATCTCTCTCTTGCCCGACCAACCAATAACTCACCTCTGCAAGAATATTAAAAATTTTTTTAATATATTGGATAAATCAATGATATTTTCAAAAATTTTATAGCAGCAAACTAAAAGATTCAAAATACAAAAAAATCCAAACAAAATTTTTTAAATTCAACAATAGTATATTTTCAAATTAACATTAGTTTTATTAACTCAAATTTTTGTATTCAACTAAGAATTATTAGATTGTTTTTTTTTTATATCTTGTAGAAAAAATGTACAAATTCATAAGATTTTGCTCGCGCCTTTTATTTGTTATGTGGTAGTTCTAAAATATTTTGCTTTTAAATTGCCTTGGAAACATACCTGTACACAATATAGAGGAGCTCATTTCTTTCAAGCACTTAGCAATTAAAGCCGTGATAAGTATGACGTGATGATCGGCCAGGGCGGGTGTGACTATCCTCTCAAAGAACATTACTCTGATGGTCCTCGCCAGCGTCTCCGCGAATTCCATCTGAGCCTCTCTCATCAACTGATCACAATAGTCGAACCACATAAAAAACGCCGCTACTTGCCGGCAACCAGGAAATTTTTTCTCCTTAGTCCACAACGGTGAGTCCAGACCCCACGTGACGTCCACATTATAGATTTCCAAGTAATCCACATGCGCCGGTATAGCATTAAATAAGTTTTCTAGGCGACTAGATATTATTGATGACAGCTCGCTCCTGGCGACTGTTTGTGCAAATGAAGGATCGTCCAATGAAGCCAAAACCATTATTCCCTCGCATGCTCTTATTCTTACCATGTTATCCTATAAACAGAAAAATGTGATATAATTATTATATACAGACTGCTATACTATCATATCAAAAGTCCTGTTTTCTCGCTGCAACTTTCTTAGCCAACATTGTTAACATTTTACTTTCTGGATTATTAAATTATTAACGCAAAGTTGAACTGTAAATATTTTTCTATTCTGACAAGAAAAAATTTAACACAATCCTCTCATTTCTAATAATAATCTCATAATTTAATGATTGCAGTAAAAATCAGGAATTTTAACAAAAAAAATTGCAACACTGTTTTACCGCGCTATTTAAATAACTCATCAGGGCATCTAATAGAAGACATTTAGATTTTTCGGGCATCTTCGGTGACTTCAAACTCGGATTATTACCCGCCACGTAACTTGTGTCGTCGTAAATGTTACAATCGGTATCCAGTCGTAAATCCCTCAAATTTTGCAAATGTTCATCAATCTTGTTTCCTGAAGAATCTCTTTCGTTCTTTTCCTCCCCTTGTTCACTGCTCTTTGTGTCTATCGAAGGCGAATCACAAACGGATTTTTGAGCCAAAGGACTCGATGATACGCTCTCATCCCTGGAAGATATGGATTCGTTCGATCTCCTGGACAAATCATATTGTGCAGCTACGTTAAAAGTCCTGCTCGAACGTAGTAATTTTTTCTGTTCTTTGTCGAAGAGATTTGGGTTGACTAATGTAACTGCTTGGGTATCCAAAGGCTCAAATAAAGGATTAGAATTGTTTCTTCTTCTTGTTGGAATATAGGTCACCTTCTGGATCTCTGTTCTCTCGTTATCCTTCTTAACAACATTGCTAGCTGTTTGTGCAATTGGTGCATCATTGATAATGTTGGTCACGTGGGGATATTTGCATACCAGGAAGCAGATTGTTAGCAGGAATTGCACCTAAAAAAAATGGAAATATTACTTTTTTCAGAATATATTTTGACAAGTATCAATAAGTCAATGTCAATAATCTCATGTTCAAAAATTGATATTTTTATTTCTTTATAAAATATATTTATATAAACATTTGTTTATAAACCTTTTATAACTTATAAGTATATAATTTTGATTTCAACATATATAAAACTAATTTCAAACATTAATTTCATTAATAAAATATTAACATCTGTCACTTTATATTTGAGACATAATGATAACAAATATAATTACATAAATATAATTAAATAAAAAAGACAAAATAATTTTATATCTATTTCAGTAACATGTTAAGTTATTTTTACAGCGACAAATAATAATTAAACAAAAATAAACAAATTAATTATAAAAATTAAAAAATTGTATATACTCTATAAACAAAACAAATGTAATATCGAAAAATTAATTATGATAGCAAAATTTAATCGCTTTAGTACGAAATACGTAATTACAGCAATATTTTCGCTGTGACAGCAAAAATCTATTTATGCATGTTTATAAGTATATTACAACATTTGAAAGTAGCGCGATAATGTAGCTGGTGGCGCGATACCGAATGCAACCGGGAAAAAACGGAATTAGCCGAAAATACATTCGAAGTGTAACATCTCGCGCCGGTTGATGTGCTTGTCATCTTGCGATTTTTCGAGTATGTAAGAAAAATAATCATTAAACTGTGAATCAATTGTTGTCAAATGTTTTTTGTCTTAAGACGTTATCGGAAAATGCAAGTAAGACATATGTGAGTATATTGCAATAATCGCACGATGTCTTCTACGTACACGTAGTGTGATTCTTTACTGTGCGTTCTGCGATCAGCAATTTTTCATGTGTGTAAGAAAAGGGATTGAATTTTGACTCAAGAATATTGCCGAGTTACTTCGTGAAATTCTATCGGAAAATAAAAAAAGAATACACATACATGAATATATCGTGATATTTTTAAATTGCTAGTTAACTTGTGCCAACCAATGACGTAAAGCCAAGTGCGAGTGAAAGAAAGTACAATTGAAACCGGAAAACAGTTGAAAACGCATTCACAACGTATCATTATACAATGGCGTATGTCCGAAACGATAAATTTGACAAGTGTTAGTTAGTTAAATGAAAAAGTGTGAAAATCGAAAGTGCGTGCAATATAAAACTATTCTGGAATCTACGTTCCATGGGTTCACGAGGATGATCGAGGGAATGAATGAGAAAACATCTAGCGCTGATAAGGCTAAGATATGATGCAACCGATGCAATAGGATTGTCGCAATAAATCATGTAAGTAAATACGTAAAAATTTTTCACATTGTTAATGAATAATGAACAATATTATAGAAGAGCAATTATCGCGATCTAGATATGAACAAATCTAGATATAAAATGAATATTGAATATTGAAATGAATACTGAAATATATTAATCGTTTATTTTAATTATTTTATGAAAAGCAAAATATAAAAATAAGTGAAATTTGGTAAATATAACTGGTAACCAAAAATAATTTTAAAAATCAATAAACAAATAGGCAAAGATTTAGAATCATTACAATTTTGCATAATAAAAAAGATAATAAATAATAAATAATAATAAAATAAAAATAAGATAGTTTTAGGCTTTCTTAAAAGTTAAACTTGTTGATCAATTTCACATTGCTTTTTTCGCATCAAAAAATTAATATGTAACGGATCATATTGAATCAATTATACCATTAATCATACCTCTTCAACTTCAATTGGTGATGGCGGATTACCGTTGCAAAGTGTTACAAGTCGTTGTATTGGCGCATAGATAGATGTATGATGTAGCAAGGGATATTTTGATCTGCCCAGAAATTTCCTCAAGAAAGCAAGGCAAATTGTTCGCATGCCAGGTGGTGTCTCTGCACAAGCCAAAGTCGCTAAAAGGTCCAAAAGCTTGTGTTGCAAAAGATATTCTAAACAAGGTCCAGGTTCATTCTCTTCTTTCTCTTCTCGTAGTAAGATTTCCAATAATACATCTAGGTGTCGAGGTATACTGGTGTTCTGCACAGGAACCTTGCAGTCAGTCAGATGACTCACATAGAAATTCATCAATTGTTTCCAATGGTAGGTGAAATCTTGCAACGGCGTTGCCGGTGGGGCTATCTAAAATATAAATTTGAATTTACTCTTTGAAATTTGTTAGGTTTTCATGATTAGTGTTAAGATATCAAAAAAGTGGGAAAACTGGGACATAGTTCATATGTATTTGGGGAAATAATTATTCATTGGTTGACTTACATATCAACAATTGGTATCCTAGTTTGGAATTGCATGTGTAATGTATTTTTATTTTTATATGAATTTAATCACAGAATATATTAAAAGAGCTAGAAAAAATATCAACTAATTTTTTGATTGGTATTGAAATTTCTAAAAATGTTTTTAATTATAAGATCATGCTACTTTTGAGAAAATAATACTTATTTAAATAAATATAAATTGTATATTTAAATGTAGATAAGCTTTGCCTACAGATTTAATTGTCAAATTTAGTTGTAGTTGTGTACATCATGTATTCTGATATTCTGTAAAGGCAGCAAAATATTACAATAGTTTTTTCTTATCGCGAAGTCAAAATTGAATAACACCGATATTTCTTATCTCAAAGTGCAAGGACGAAACGCAGTTGCGCGTTTCCCAGTAGACACCCTTATCGTCATTGACTGTCACTCACCACGTCAATGGCATTCTTCAGGGCGATCTGAATGCCGCTGATCATGTTAACTCACTCGCGGGATACACTCGTGTGCGTACAGTTTTCACTTTCATTCGCGGATTCGTGAGATCTTCTCCCCTCGGAGTGCCGTTCCGGTGCGCTTCATCGCGTGTGGCGGAATGAATTTTGCGATAGCGGCTTCCGCGACTTTGACGTGTCCCAACACCGAATAACCAAACGTGCACCAGGTGGAGACACCAGGCTCACGTGCGTGCATTGCAATGAGTACATTCGACTGCACTCGATGTGATAACGCATTCAGAAACGTAATGACGCGCTTACATTTTACGGTCGAAATTTTCTGTAATATGTATTTCAAAGTATTTCTCGTTTGTATAAGATTAATTGTATAGTTCAATGTTTCGTGAAGTGTCCTTGTAATTCTTCACGCATCAGTCAATATTAGTGTTGACTCGACAACAGCTGAGTAAATATTCGTTGAATACGCTAATATAATCAGCAAATGTATTTTAATAACGTTTGTAAATTAATAATAATCAGGATTATTTATTTCAAACAGAACAGTAAATGGAAATTATTAAAGAACCAAAATCACGTAGAAATTTTTGCAAAAAAAATCTTGTTATATTAAGGAGGAAATATTGAATATGCTGTATATAAAATATTGTTTTTATAACATAATTTTTAGACAACTTTCGAAAAAAACAATAATTATAAAAAAAATATTTTTCTTATAAAAACATTCACAAAACTCGACATTACATGTACAACGAATTAATAGTTTACGGCAATGAAACAATTTCTTCATTTATGATTATTTATTCTCAGCATCAACGTGTACATGATAACAACATTAATAATGTGCTAAATGTAAAAAAAGTCTCCACTTCGAAAGAGGTTTCGATGATGTTCGCGGGTTTGACAATCAATTTCTTCATCTTCTATTTTTTCTCTCTCTCTTTCTCTCTCTTTTTCTCTCCCTTTTTCTCTCTTTTATTTTCACTTTTTTTCGCTTATTCATTTCCATATTCACAAATAACGAATAATTTCCTAACGCTTCAAGGCAGTAAGGAAATATTTCTCTCGAGGTATCGCTTACTTTGTTACACGCGCGCGCATTTTACATTTTACACCCGTAATCTTATGTATATACAGCACGTAGTTAATATTTAACTAATTTCGATGGCATTTTTTTTTCACCAATATCACTATCAGGCAATCGTAAACATTTTCTAAAGAAGAACTTCTTGAGCCAAATTTTTAAATTCTCTAAAATATCTTTAAAGTGTATTATCTAAAAATCTTTTCTCAATGTAATTTTATACGGATAATGAATGTAATCTTTGCTTATAGTAGTATATTTATGAATCTAGTGACTGACGTGTATAGTTTTCCCTTTGGACAAATACAAATAAATATTAAATAAGGAAATTAAGAACTGAAAATATTAAACGAGAAAATTATTTAAACTTTAACTTATATCACACCTGATTGACTTTCGATTGAGTTAATAGTCCTTCGGAGCATTACGTACTCACCGATTTGAGTGCTCGTAATCGTCGCAACATGACGATGGAGAAGAACTTTCAAAGATCCAAGATTCAGAAATGTACGCGAAGTCGTTGAAAACGAGCACACTAACACACCAACGCTCTTCACAATTATTCAAGATTTATCATTGGCTTCATTAAGCCTTATCGCGATAACGATAAGGAGTCACGCTCAATTAATAGCTAACAAGATTGTTCTTTATCTCATACACGCAATCATTCAAGTTATTTAATAATTCAACAATAAAAGATGACTATATGCACCTTGTAACCAAACCGAAAGAGTATATGGAGAAAATTTTATATTAAAAATTACTATGTACGATAGTAGTCGTGGACTATAAAGGAATTATAAAAATTTTTACTGTGTTTTTCACATAATGGCCATAGTATTTAAACTTATAATTCCTCTTATGGTCCGCGATCATTGCCGTATCATAATAATTTTTGATATAAAATTTTCTCCATGTATTAAATATTGAAATCCAATAGAAAATTTAGTTATCAATAAAATTTTTTAACATTTCTCGGATTTTCTAACAGTAGATTTTTCAATCTTTAATATTATACATCTTTATAGCTCTAAATTAAGATTCTATTAAAATTGCTTGAAATTAACTAATGAATGATTTCGCCCGTAATCTATTTTGATTTTTTCTTAATTCATCAGAAATATCTTATACTTTAATCTTTAACACTTGAATTATGGAAGATGCTTCGATATTTTCGTTGAGAATAATATCACTTCTAAATTAGCCAAAAAATCTATCATAAACGAAACATTCGATTTTGAAAGGATTAATTACCACATATTTGTACACGTTTATTCTTTGAATCTATTAATTCCTCGTAATTTCATAATTGATACGATTTCACATAAGATCAATTCAGTATATATCATTAATTGAATTAACTATACACTCATCATTTTATTAAACTTGATTAGAATAGATTAGATTATTTTCATTTTATCCGTTTATTTTCTAAATTTTTTTTATATCATATTCGTTAGATTCTCTATAGAGAGTGTAATCTAATGAAAGGGCACTTGGAATTGAATAGGAAGCTCAATTCTAAAGAAAAAAAGACTTTAGACTTTTTCGATGATAATTTTGGGCAGAAAAATTAAATTCATAAATAATTAACTGAAAAGTTTCTAATAATGATATTAGATAATTTCATGATAGTTTGTATAATAAAATTCAAGAATAACTCAAAAGTATCATCGTGGATTCGTACGTGACCCGTGAGAAGTCTAATAGTTTTTAATTCCATCGGATTTCTCGCTTTTCATATTTTTTACATTAAGAAAATAATTTTAATTTTTATATGTGACTATCTTTAGACTAAAAAATAAAAGATTTATACTCATGTTTGAAAAGAAAAAAATTATTATAGAATTTATTTTGAAGAAAATATTAATGGAACTGTATATTGATGTGTGTAGATCCCATTGTGATATAAATGTTATAAATTTTTTAAATTATAGTACTTAAGGGTTAACTGAAACAATACTCAACGAAATCGATGAAAAACTCTGTTTATTCTCGAACCTATCGATTTATCGTCGTTTTTACAATTGATATGATCTCACGTGATCAGTTTAAGTATATCATCGATTTAAGTCGTTCGCATTTGTTAATACGTCTGTTATTTTATTAACAATTAACAATTAATGCTCGAGATCCTTTCTGGTGGTTAAATTTGTCGAGCAATTTTCTTAATTTGTTTACATACTCGATTTCTTTCTCGCTGTTTTCTTCTCGAAGATTCATCGAGATTATTAACTGATAATGCTAATGATTTGCGGATCATTAATGAATTACACTAAATATAATGATCATCGTACTCGGCCGCCATAGAGAGGATATCTACATCCTCGATTACTTAGTTTTTCTCGCATAAACATTAACTAAGTATTCACCGTTCTTCTAATCCGCTAAGTTATAGCTTTTTGTGCTCTATGTACAAGAAATATTCGTCGCGCAATTTTTTAATCCATTCATCTCTTCTAATTTGCATTACTTTGCACTTTCTACATTAAAAACAGACAAAATAAAACAATATGAACAGATAACCCTAACATAATCCTATATAACACAGATATATTTTAACATATATCTATTTTTATAATTTATGAAAATGCATCTATTCATACCTTTGACAACGTAACATATTTTATCATCTTCGCAGAGAACTATGTAAAATGGTAGCTAAATAGGCTATTAATACCAGAGATAAGGCAGCTACTTATTATCTTCACTGAAAATACACTTCCATGCTTGATAGTATTTCTTGTTCCATCGAATATCACGTTCATGTACTATCTATCAACTCTTTCATAATATCACGATCATTCCTATCATAAAATTCATTTTTTTCGTCCTTTGATAATGGTATTATTTGATAACAATATCGAAATCAAAGGACGAAAGAAAAAAAGTATCACTATCGTTTTGCATAAATACTCTATGATGAAAATGATAAAATATATTACGTTGACAAAAATAATAATAATAATAATAGTAGATTAGACGCATCTTTATAAATTTATAAGAACATATATATTCTAATATATGCACATACGTATGTATGTATGTGTGTATGTATATTGCTTTAAAATCTCTTTTATTACAAAGGGTCTACAATCTAATTATTAACATTTATTTAGACGTCTATGGACCCTTTTCGTGACTATCAAGCCGCTCAGCCTTTAGCGAAGTCTTGGAATAATGGCCTAAAACGATTTAAAAAAAACAAAAAAAAAAATGTATTGAATGTAGAAAGTGCAAACTTATAAAACTTTTGCAATTTAACTCTCTCGTTCAAGCTCACTCGCTCATCGCTCATCTAATTCTCTCATACTGCTGTTCGTATCAGTTTTACGTTACATAAAATTGAATTGGAACTAGCTCGCTACCGATAACCGCGTCTTCACCGCCTCTGCGATGCCACTGCAGCGACCAGCGCTGCGCCACGACCACTCCCGTCCTCCGACAGCATCAAATCGAACTGTAAACGAGAGAAGTCAATTGAATAATATTACTACATTTTATTGTTTTCTAATTTAAAAGAATTTAATTCTTTATAACAATAAAATTTAACTTTTATTTAACGTATATTCTTGACTGGCTTTCGTATAAAAAAAATTATAACTTAAGGTATTTTACTGTATTTTATATTTTTTATAAATGAGTACTAGTATATTAAACAGAAAATTAGATTATAATATTTTTAATTTTTAATTTTATTTTGGTATTTCAATTCCGTGACACTTTCGTCAACGAGAAACGAATTCTCGCCCGCGTTCTCACCTTGTAGTTTTGGAGTTCAGTGATTTTCGCCGTCATGAGATCGTGGAAGTGTGGGTGGAACCGATACACGGAGCCATCGATACCTACGGTGACATTGTTTTCGCCCATTTTATTCAATAATGTTGCTATCCCCGCGCTCGCCAGATACGCTGCCCTTCTCGATACCAACGAGCATACGTATCTTACGTTCTCACAATCCTGATCGCTCACATTCCGCAAACCCAGCTCAGCTAACACCTCCCGACAATTTGTGTATTTTCCCTTAGGATCGCTAAAAAATTCACACAGATTTTTTCAGTCATTGATTCTTTTAGATTTTTTGCAGCCTAATCTTCAACTGATTATGTGAGCCAATTCGTTTTTTAGTCGACTACTTTAATAACGACCTGATCAATCGATCAGTAATACTTACTTTTCGATTTCGGAGACGTATTTAGTGAAGAACTTTCCGCGCTTTCTGAGATCGGTAGGATATTTGCCGCCGAAGAGAAGGCCAGCGTTTACTAGTTTCTCGAGGACGAGCCTCGCCAATTCACCCATATACATGCCCGAGATCATTTTTTCAAACAATTGCTTTGACGGATTGATGGAATTTTCATCGATAGCACGATCGAACTCGGTCGTCACAAAGTCCAATACACCACCCTCGCCGAACGCGCCCCACTCCGTGTTGATTAGCATATGGGACTTGTGATCTGCATAATTACCTGGAATCGCACATTCCACATTCCTCGTCTTTTCAACATAGCAAGCGTTGCTTCCAGTACCTGCAAATACGAGAAAACTTAGCAACGTGTTTGGAATTCAGAAAGAGATAAGAAATGAGATAAAGTTATTTAACTTTTAGATAATATTTATCATATTATCTCAAGATTAAATTTTTTTTACGTGATCTGACAATGAAATTTGTAGGCAGAATTGATTTAACTTTGAATAAGTTTAATTAATCATTAATTATTTCATTATTTAAATTAATTAATGTTAATAACAATTTATGTAAATATCTTTTATAATTTACCGCACGATCATTTTTATATACGTACCGACAATTAAGCCGATTCGGCAATTTTGATTTTTCCATGCACACGACATTAAAGTACCGGTGGTATCATTCAGGATTGCACATACATCGATTTTAACATCCTGTGGAAAATATCAAATAGTTAGATTATATACGTCAGATCTGTTCTCAGACTTATCATCTTTGCATAATATAGACATCAGATATAGTGCATTTTGTAATGAAATTTCTTAATGTATGAAACATGGTTCATTAACAGAATTCGTTTAAAAATCTATTAATTGAATATACTAATATTCGATTAAATCGCTACTTTGTGAAACATTTTACAGTTTGTTTCGATCTTCTCTACAAAACAAAAATTAATATTTAAAAACCCCCCTAAAAATATGAAAATTTCAAAAGTTTACAAATTAATTTGTATTTGCTTGTGATGATCACGCACTTACGTTTCTTCTATCGATTGCTTCTTCGAGGAGGGCTACGACGTCCTCGCCGATCACTCCGCTGCAATTGAAGCCCTTGGTCCATCTCACTAAGTTTCCTTGTGTCAGTCCATGCTGAGTTAGGGGGAAACTAAAGGTGAAGCCTAACGGCAGCACCTCGTTCTGCAACTTCAGGTCCTTCACGAATAACGCCAAACATTGAGCGATATGATCGAACAGCTGGGTGCCAGTACCGAGCATCAAGCTCTGTGGTATTGCGTAGATTTTGCTCTTCATATCGAAGTTCTGACCGTCCAGTGTAATCAGTAATACTCGGAAATTTGTGCCGCCCAAGTCCAGTGCTAGGAAGTTGCCCTTCTCTAAGACGAAGAACATGTAACATCAGTATGGAATAACCATCTGTTATTTGAGGAATTTTTACTTTATTTTGTCGTTCTCGAAAATTTGACAGCATTTTTTTCAAACTCTTCTTTATTTTCTACATTGGATATTAATAACTGAATCGTAATTAATTTTTTAAATCCTCTTAGCATAAATTAATACTTTTTTGAACGAAGTGAGAGGAAATGTTGCCGTTTAATAAATTTTATTTTTTATAATCTGCTTTTTTCTTAGCATATAATCTGAGCGTATAAAAAGCTTATACTAACGATCCGTGTCTAGATTACCATGCTTCTTCACTTACCGGTGCCGTTTGGCAGATCTTGTACGTAGGTCGTAAAGCATTTGACAGTTGCGTCATCGTGAGTTTGCCTCGATAAGCCTCTGTTGATCTCGTCGCTGAGCCTCTGCATGACCAGCCTGAGCTGATCATCAGATAGGACGAGGTCCTTGCAGGCATCTCGTATCTGCGGGCAGAGAAACGACGGGACTCGGTTATCGATCCGCGCAGCGGTGTTATTGGGTGACCTTGAATCGTCCTTCGACACCACGCGCGCCGTGCGCGCGACCGCCGAACGCGGCCGTTGCATAACGTTCTTCTTGCTCTGATGCGCATATAACACCGAGACTTCGAACGCAAGACTACGATCGATCCTTTCTTTATTGATCCTGAACCTGACGTCAAATGAGAAACATCTAGTTTTGCGGGATGTTTCAAACGATCAAATTCTAAGGATCTTTTCTAAGGATTCTTAGACCACAGTTCGACCAATTTATTTTTTTCTCAAAGTTATATAAAACTACACATTAATTCTTTTTATAGGAAAACTTAAAAAATCCAAAATTATATTAATTTTATGATTTAATGATAGAAACTTACGCTATATTTTTATATTTTATATAAAAAATTTTTATTTTATTTTTAACTTATTATAATTTTATATAGTGATTGAATGATTAATCACATAGTATTAATGAATATATTATACATATGATATGAATAACTTTATATAATTTTATATAATGAAACATGGTTATTCAAAAGTTTGTATTAATTATTTATTTCGATTTGAGTTTCAATGTTAATCTAAAAATCATCTGATCTTTTTCATTTTTGCTCTTTATTATTTCGAGTATTAACGAGAATTAATAAAATTCTGAAAAATAAATTTAGAATTTCCAAGAAATTTTCAAAAGGGAAAATTTTTTGTTTTTACTTTTATCTGTCAGTTTTAATTTTCAGATTAAAATTTTTTAACTTTCCATAAATCAAAAATTTTTGGAGATCTAGCTTTTTTTAAATTTGATAGTTTATAGAATTTAACGATTATCTTTAAGACATAATAAAAATAAGAAAGCTTGGTTTTAAATATGAGAAATGTGACAATGCAGCTAAAAAATAGCTTACATAAAAAAAAATAAGAGATGCTTTTAGAAAATAAAAAAAAGTAAACATGCTTGTTTCAGTGCTATGCTTTTCATAAAAAGTAGAAAATATGTTTACTGTAAAAGAGAAGATATTTACAATAATAATATTGAAGATATCATATTGCCCGCCAATTTGTTACACTCTTCCTCCCACCGAGAGTATAAGCATCGATCTATGACGTCACTGACACACCCGCCCGCTGGCCAATAGGGTTTCTCATGAATGAATAACATAGTAGAATATATAACATTCACGCAGCAGATACACTGATCGCAGCGAATGCATGCACGGCATGCAAACTACAATATATAGAAGCTCCTGATATAATACACGTGGCATAGTATATTAGAAATTCAAGTTGTACTTTTCTACGACTGACTAGCATGTTTGCACATTTGCATTATGTGACATATCGTAAATTCTACAGAGTCCACGATTGCAATTATGAAACTGATATGCAGATGTTTGACAATTTGTGACGTAAGTGTAAAAGTCCTTGTCGCATGTTAAGAGAATAGCTCTTTCTACAAAACGGTGTTTTAATTTTTTATGGGGAATATACCTGTTGCATACATGCAGATCGATTTTGATAATTTCGGAATACATGGAAAATAAATGTTACTTTATAATTAATCAATAAATATAAAAAACGTATTTTAAACTTTGAATATAGGCAAAATACATGACTGCAGTTACAGAATTTATAATAGAATTAATTATAGAATCAATATAGGCATTTAACAATTATTGGTACAAATAAAGAGCCTTGTCATATACTAATTTATAATTTTTTGTTGCAAGAACAATTTCATTTTTTCTTTATTCGAGAACGATATTGGTGGCGCGTATAAAAATCTTTATTTAATTTTTAAAAGTATAGAAGTTGTGATGTGTTGATAAATTGTCAGTCTACAATAAAAATAAAAAAAATAAAACAACGGAGAAAGATTATGTTTTATTCTCGGAATGAGTATTTCTCATTATGCGATTGTAGGATATTATTAATTATACGATGACAAATATAATATCAACAGATAGAGCCGCTTCCGGACAAAAATTACTTTCTCGTCATCAGTTATTGATGTTATTAATTATCAAATATGTATACTATTGCATGTGGTATATTGCTATTATTATTTTAATGAGCCGTTTTGTAATAAGAATAATTCAGAGAAAAGTAAAAAGGGATCTCTCTCTCTCTTTCTCTCTCTCAATGTTAATTGCATTTGCACATAAAGTATTCCACTCCAAATACAAATGGGAATTTCCTACACGTTTAAAAATAATTATAATTAGCTAATTGTTTCAACGAAATGAAAAATATTATCAATGAAAAAATTTTATAACACTGGATGATTCGTGTATTGTGAATACAGAAGTCTCTTGTGAGTACACTATTATTATGCGCGACTGTACGTTAACCCGTTAGCACTTTAATTCTTATATACATATATTTGATATCACACAGTCAAGTTTTTACGTCGAAGTGCCATCTCTTTTTAGATGTGTATTTAGAAGCGACGCGCGTCATGCGTTTCTTACGCGTGATCAATTTCGTTCTGCCGCGGAAGAATTCCTTTTTCACGCGCATTACTCATGTATTGTGAGTTATAATAAAATCACGTGCCAAATCGTTGAAACGATTAACGCGATAGCTTTATTAAACTGACCAAAAAATCCGACTAAAAAAAAATATTAAAAAATTGTCAAACACGTGCCACAAAACGGACGCTAATTAAAGTGTTAATAGCCGTTACGTCTCATAGATCATCGATTGAGTCTTTTTTATTCTATCTAGAACATTACCTTATTTTGCATTATCTTCTTTTTTTAATGTTTTGTCTATTTTCAGTTTGATAATAATATGTAGTTTTATTTTGTAATATTTTTCCTTGCAAATAATCACAGCGACGTAATAGACTGCGTCATATCAGTGAAAATAAAACGATATCAGTCAATTTTTATTTCTAAATGACACACATCTCTCATTTCTAAATTATATTCCTAATTAGCTTGATTAGAGTATTTGCTCCAAGATAATTTCTGTCTAACGTCAAAATGCCACGTTCTTCCTATCATAGAACGCTGTTTGTTTATTATATCTCATAATAGGAGCCACTAAATCACTTGTCTTATTGCATATATTACGATGTAACGCCCGGCACAATTTGTGATGAATACGATTAAATGATTCCGTTATCGCATTGTTGACATCGCCATCGTTGACATTTAGACGAGACGCACGTCATGCATGTGTTTCTTACGTACGGGATCAATTCTGTACTGTCGCGGCATTTCTTCCTTGTGCATATGTGCTTGTCAATTGATAAGTTTTCTCTCCTGAAAAACTTATCGATATAATTAAAATTTTCAAACGTTTTTTTTATCTACCATAAACAAATTTTAGCGAAAAAGAAAAATGGCAAGTTTTGAAGGTACACTTTTCAAGACATCGAACAATTTGGCTGACGTTACTTGATTCAATGTTGCATAAAGTGATTCGTTTAATTTCTCAAGTCATTAGTGATGCCGTATTTTTCCACTCGTATTTACGTGATCTTTCAAAATTTGTAAAAAAGATCAGGGAACGTTAAAGCACATATAAAATTTTTCAAAATAAAAATTGGAAGATCTCGCATTCTCTCTCTCTCTCTCTCTCTATTCATCGTTCGATCAATTATATCACCATTTTCTCATGGGTCGTTTTTACTATCAAGCTTTTATTGTCCATACTATCTCTTATCCATCTTCATTCTTCTAATCTAGTCTTATCTTGTCTGCAATAATGTTTCTAATATTTTAACTCACACAAATGAAATTGGAAAGAAAATCGATTCGTTCAACCATGCACATATTTGTTTCATTCTGTATTTCAATACAAATATGTTTTCCTTGCTTTCGAAACTTATTATTTCCATTTTGTTATCAGTATTTTGATCTTTCTTTTTCCTAAGACAAGATCGAGATTTATTGATCCATGGATCTATTATTGTGCTCCATAATTTTTTAATTTGCTTTTTCCTGTCACTGTCATTCCAATGACTTATTCAGCTAACCTTGCCTCTAACCTTTCCAAATTTTTTCCTCTCACTTTAGTTTAATTTACATACATATGAGCAGGGAATAAATGTGCTTTATCATTTATAAATATGTTTTAAACTTGCCCCTACCTGCCCTTATCTTATCCTAATCTTACTATCTGTCATGCTTTCTTCCAATCTGTTTAATATTATTTTAATATACTCACAAAGTATTGCAAGCCGAAGATATATTATTTTCTTAATTTCTCAGAAATTTTTTCAACACATACTTTATATTTTCGGAAAACATTAACACTAAAGAAGAACTAAAACCTTTGAAACCCCAAATATATTTTTATGTACGATGATTCAATATATCTTTAGCTTCCTTTATTCAGAGAATTTTAATCTATATTTTATAATTCTGGATCTAAAATAGACTCGGACATTGGATAAATTGATAATAATAATTTTCCTCCGATCTTGCCTCGAGACTCGTTCTTAACCTTCTGACCTTCCTTCGAACGCCCTCGAATTCAAATATACACAACTTCCTTTACACACGCACGCATTTTGTTCTTTTAATACAACTTTTAATACTAGAACTCTATGTAGGTTCAAGAAATATAATGAAAATTTCCAAAGATCAATGATCTATAAGCGTCACACGATCGTCTCAATTTTTTGTAATAAAAAATAAGAAATTAGTTCTCTCTACCTCTCTCTCGATCTTGACACCTGTCTCTTCAGCGCAAATATAAAGATATCATTGACACTATACAAGGTCGTTTCAATATAAAATAAGTTCGTACGCTATTTAACGGACTGTTTAAAACTGATTATCTTTTAACTTAAGAAAATTCACGTTTTTCCAAATTTCTTGCAATTTTTTTTCTACTTTAAGATAGATGATTTGATAGACTTGATCAGATTTCAAATTATTCATGATTAAAAATGGAAATTTCGTAGATTTGACAGATGACATGTGTTCGATTTCAATCTACTTTTAATATTATACGATTTATCACGTGCTAATATAACGATCATGATCATAAAACGCGCCAAAATTTTGTCACATCCACTTCCTTGACCGATTTTGCTTTTGCTCCTAACTTACCGAACTTTCCTCAAATGTATCCAAGTATACATGATGTCACACGTATACGGACATACACAAAAAACACGATCAAGCATTTTACCCTCTAAACCTCTCCTAATTCTCCACTTTTCAATCACTCGCTCACCTCCTGCTTGATCAAGTCACTGCACGATAACGTGGACGTCTTCATGGCCCTCCCAACCTCGCACTCGGTAGCGCAGCCCTCGAGCAGCTTCGTGGTTGCTAATTGAAACGATCAGCGATCAGAGGAAAAACGCTAATTGAGCGCGCGTGCCGTGACGCTTTCTGTGTGTGATCGACTTCGTCGTCAACGTGTCGACGTCGTCGAGGAAGGAACTGGTCTGGCTCGACTAGGAAGTAGAGTTTCCGATTCCTGATAAGTGCACGCGTTAAAGAACTACCTCTGTGAACTTTATATCACGACTGGCTGAAGCGCTGGAACGACGGCGCCTGTTCGCCCATTCCCCACGCGAACAGTTTCGTTGGAGGGAATGGAACTCATAGTGGGGTGAAAGGAGGCCATGGAGGAGGCAATAGGTATCAGTGATGGACTTACTCCCTCGACTTGGTTCTTAATTTTTTAATTGTTGCAAAAGATTTGTCCTTCGCGAACTTTTAATGTTTTTCTACGATAAAGATTAATGTAATAATTTGTTCTATTCGCTTACTGCGAAATATCGGATTCCGAAAGATTTAGTTTTATAATACTTTTATCGAATAAACGTTTACATGATTTATCGCGTATCGCGTTTTAAAATAACATGATCTTTTTATAAAAGCCTGTTTTATTTTATTTTGTTATATTTTGTATAACGATTTTTTCTTTTAATTGTCGAATTTTTTGCATTTAGATTATACACATGGAAAAATATTGCAAGCATTTTTTTATCATGCACAAATAACATATGCGATTTACATGATTAATAAGGTAGAATCAAATATTTAAACACTTGTGCTTAAAAATCCATTCGTCAATTATCCAAATATTTTCAAAATTATAATTTTATTGCAGAATCGTACAAATGGATATTCTATTTGTCAGAATTAGAATTGAGATAAAATCGCTTTGAATTAATTAAATGCATAATTTGTTTCTAACATCTATATTTAAAGATTTAACTCAATTAAAAAGTTTTAATCAATCAAAAATATTAATCCTCAGTATTTATTTATATTTCTATTTTGCACATTATTTTTAAATTTAATAAAAATGTTTAATTAAAGTGATATTTAATTCTTATTTTTTACGTATATTTTAATTGTTAATTTTTGATTAAATATGTAACTAGTGTAAAATGAACCCAATTCGAATATTGTGAGCCAGCACTGTAATCTGCTGTTAGAAGTGGTAGAGATGCGTGGGGTGGCATTGGCAGCGGAGAAAGAGGGGTGATTTTCCCCTCACTCGCATTCGCTGTTAAGGTGGAGGCTCGTCCTCTCAAGGGCAAACGGGTCAAATGCTTTCTTGAGAAGCGGGTATTCCCGTAATATTGCATCATGAGGATAAGTTGATTGACTTATCATTGCTTTTGTTGATTATTTAATATTAAAGTGTATTATTTTCGTTCTCCGCAGTCGCCTTTAATTCTCATCAAACTCTTTTCTATCTCGAGACAAATAATTTCGACGATTTCAGAATGATGTTTTTCGTAAAATTTATCGTTGAATTTATTGCGTAATGGAAATTATCATTAAATTTGGAGATAATTATATATTTAAAAAATCATTAAGAGATAAAATATAATTAATCGGATAACGTCGGAAAATTTGTTGAAACTTGTTTCATTAAAAAATTATATCATGACGAAATCCATTGCGCCAGACGAGACGAGACTTTCAAGGGTGATGCAACGTTTCAATAGGTTTTGTGAGGGAGAGAAACTCGAGCTGTGATTGGTCGGCATCGGAGGCTCGCCCGTTCAATCCCTTGCTACGTGACGTCACTAAGTCTTTCCGGTTAGAGAGATGGAACTATGCTATTGCTTTGCCTTTCTGTTCCCTTTATATACGTATAATTTTTGCATTTTCTCTTGCCTTTTCTCTTTTCTTCTCTTTAGTGCTGATGTTATATTCTGCGAATTCTATGATATCCAGTTGTATTTTGTGATAATGATTTCTAATTATGTTTACGGAATTTTTTTTAACTCAAAATTTTTTTTTAATTTCTTAAAATATTTGACCATAATTTGCTCATAGGCATTACGTTATCTGCGATTCCACAAAAGATTATTTCATGTTAAGATGTTGATCCTTTAGTTGACACTCCTCTGAGCTATCAATAAACATAAGCTAGATTGATAAGCCACAATCGATAAGATAGTAGTCCCGGATATTGGTGTATAATTCTGTTTCACCACCATTCTTCGCATGTTTATCTAATCATTAAAAAACGCTTTAAACAAAGATTTATAAATATAATTCAATATTTTTTAAATATCGTACAATGTAAAACATGTATTTTATTAACTTGTTATTTACACGATTCTTTCATAATATTTTTAAATACAAGGAATGTATTTTACATCCTAATATTATACGTTTATTTTTATTGCATTTCCTGCTATTGTTTACAACTTAATTTACAATTAAATAAAAATCAAATAATAATTAAAGAACAATCAAATATAAATAAAATTATTTTTATATAAGTTAACAGTAAGCAAGGATAAAATGAAACTTTTTGATATCAAAAATATTAAATTTGATTAAGTGCAATTATGTATTTTATTTACGTATTCGTGCATTTTTAGGAAATATTAAATTTATTGTCCCGATTACTTCTAGCAATGATCTACTTAAATACTTAAATAAAAGAGATCACAGAGATCATTTATATCCGGGAAAATCCGTCTGCAGACAATAAAACATGCGCTTTTTTTTAATGAACTTGAGCAATCTTTGATGCCGATAACCTCGACTTGGCTATAATTGATTATTACCCTTATCAATGGCTGCGCAATAAATGCGTCAAAGGTTTTTAATGGTATTATTCATCTAGAAGATTTGTTTTGTGTTTTGACAGAAACGGCCGATTTGTTGCACTTTGATAAAAATCAAAACGTCTGGACGATGAACTTCCCGCGTCGTACATAATCTTATTTTTTTCTGCATTAATTATCGACGACGATCAAAGTCCGCACATTCAGATAAGATTGGCGTGAGTCTGGACATCGTTTCGTTAGGGTTATCGTAACATGGTCTTTAGCCCGTTACGTATTTATTTTTACCGTATGAAAATTATGAACGTAATATAAGCGAATAATAATAAACGAAATAGTGATCATCTTCAATATTTTTATCACAGATAGATCGTTTCTAAGTTGATTCTAAAGATGCCTCAGTTAATATGCTAACTGCCACATGTAACCGTCAGCAATACATATGGCACAAATATGTTGAAAGAATATCCGGCAATTTCGACATATCTTAAAGACACCTTTGTAGGAGAAAATGCGTCACGTTCACGTACGCACATTTGCCTGCGTGATCCAACGCACGCACGTGTCTTTTCTAAATCTTTATGAAATTGGAAAAATTCTGTTTGCACAAAAAAAAACGTTACATCTGTTTGGATCAACAGCCGTTTGACATTTTCTTTTGAAACGTTTGCAACATTCTAAACTGAGAGTGTTTAATATTACAAATTTTTATATTTTACTAATTTACAATAAGTTTCTGTAAATTGAGTACAATTTTAAAGAATTACAAATGTTTTGCAAAAAATTATTTTATATAAGAATCGCGCCACTTTGATATGTGAGACTGGTTATCGTAAGATATTGCTTATCATGTGTGTAACAAAAGCGTAAAACTTTCAACATTTCATATGCAACGACCTAATACTTTAGAGTAGATAAGAATTCCTTAGTAGTTTAGCCTGCAGAATTGAATTCTTTGTGTCTAATGCAACAAGAATGTGTTTCGCACAGATAATTGAAATAAGTGGAGACAGGTAGGCTTCGCGTCGAACACTTCGGACGACGCGCGAAACAGGATCGCCGCGATGTTATGTAATAGCAATCGGCAAAATATGACGTTGTCACAGTCATTATTTGTATGTGCTATGCACAGTAATATAATACGCGAGGAATGGCAACACAGCCGATGTTTGGTACGGCAAATAGCTAAGCTGATTGAGCTGCAGTTTCGATTAGCTATATGAATGCGTAACGAATTAGTTATACATTCACAAGATTAAACCACATCTTAAATTGCTTTTAAGAAAAAAATAAGTGTAAGAAAAATGGGCAAATATACTGCCACATGTACACCGCCAGCAGTACATATGGTACAAATATGTTGAAAGAATATCTGGCAGTTTTGATATATCTTAAAGACACCTTTGTAGGAGAAAATGCATACCGTTCACGTGTGCACGTTTAAACTCGCCTGCGTGATCCGACGCACGTACGTCGTCGCGTGCTTTTGATAAATCTTTAATAAAATTGAAAAAATTTTGTCTTCACAAAAAAAAAAAACGTGAAAAGTTTGAAGAATTCAAGTTAATTATTGTCTTCAACCACACAAAAATTGTGAAATGTGTTGAAAAAAATAATAAAAATTCAAGAAAGCAATAATTTATTAATTTAAAAAAATAGATACTTATATTAAAAAAGAGAAGAAAATAAACCGTAAGTAAAATTGTGAAAGAATGACATGCAACTATTTAATCAATTATCAACTTCCGCATGAATCACTTTGAATATGTTTGAAAAATACACGCAACTAAAAAAATCATCTTCAATCATTTCTTTTACTTTGTTTAACGCAGTAAGATGCCAAATAAAAAACACAATATGGCAAAAGAAGAAAGTACTGTGTTTACTATTAGATTTATGGTTTATGTAAAAATATAAAAAAAAATAAAAGTATCCTGTTAAAGAGTGTAAAATCTTGTAAGATTAAAAATAAAGATTTTTTTCAAAATTAAGCAGAGAAAATTGTGCCAATAATAGAACAATGTGGTAAACCGACAATTCTTTTTGACGTTTTAAAAACCTCTTCGAAGAACTTAACAACAAGATAATACTAGTGACGCGTGGTGAATATTCAATGCTTCTTTTAATGACGTCATGCGGTAGTTCTGCTAGCACGTCAATGGCATTTTTATTATTTATCAGCATATTAACTACTCATCATTATTTATCTCCTGATTTAACGTTACGTATCATTGCTAGATTCATAACACGTTTGATATTTAATGCTTCCAATAGTATCTATTCATCGAAACATGATCCATCATTCTTGGAAAACATGAGGAAATGACGAATTGTTTGCACGACAAAAAACTTTTTATATATTTTTACGATAACATATTTTTTTTCTGTCGAATCACTATCATATAATAATATGTAGATTTAGCCATTCTTTAATCTTGAATTCGGATTTTGAGCCGACTTTAGATTGTTGCATACGAAATGTTTATATAATGGCAACTTACTTT